CCATTATATATACACAATAACCCTATAAGGAAAGTTAGGCTGTTAATGACGGACCCAAGCTAACCCAACAAGTCTCAACAGAGCTGGGATCTGAACGCAGTTCTCTGGGATCCTTGTCAAATAGTGGCTCATTACTTCAGACTAATGCATAGGGTCTATGCTTGAATGAATGAAGTGGAGTAAGCGAGATTCTTGTGACAACTTAGAAACGATTTCTTTTTAAATCCTAGCACAAGCTTTTATAGACTAGTCTCATCACTTCCTGCATTTCATGGCCCGTTCAGTTTGCTGTTTACGACTACATCACTACATTGGTCTTGTGAGGCCGGTAGGGTTGCCAAGGTCCTCCCTGGCCACCGACGGGGGATGGGGGGGGGGGGTAGGGTTGCCTTATCCAGGTTGGGAAACTCCTAGAGATTTGGGGATGTATGTAACCTGGGGAGGACGGGGACCTCAATGGGGTACAATGCCACAGAGTCCACCTTTCAAAGTACTCGTTTTCTCCAGGGGAACTAAATTCTGTAGTCTAGAGATGAGCTGTAATTCCGGAGGGTCCCCAGGTCCCACCTGGAGGTTGGCATCGCTACTTGAAGAACCACAGTTTTTGAACAAACTTTTTAAAATCTTTAACGTGCCGCACAAGACTGCCGTTTATTGTTGCTACAACAGACCGACAGGCTACTTCTCTACAGCGGCCGATGTACAGGAAAGACCCCTAAAAACCCTCAAGTCCTTTCAGACGCTGCTGCTGCTCCTGCTACGGGGGCGGCTGCATATAAGCCACAGCTCGTATCCGCTAAACACACAAAACTCTTCCCCGCCGCTGGAGGCCTGCCGAGCAAGAAAAGGAAAACGATGGAAGGCGGAAGCACCAACAACCCGCGGACGTGTGATCCTCCGGCCAGAAGGGAACGCTGAAGCGATTCCACGGGGGGGGGCAGGCGGAACTTCACGAGGGAAGGGGATGCCGGGAACGACGAGGAGGAGGAGGAGCGTTCTTCCCACCCTCTCTCTCTCCGCTCGGAAAGGCCGCAGAGGAGCCTTGCGCGGGTGCTGTCGCGAGAAACGCGTCACCGTCACGTTTGCTCGGCGCGTTTCTCTTCCCTTCCTCCTTTTACCTCAGCCAGGAGCGCCAGAAAGACCGTCTTCCTTTCTTCGCTGCCGTCATGCCGAAGAATAAAGGTGAGGCCTCTCGAGCTCCCTTTCAGTCTCCCCCTTCCTTTTTTCTCGATGCTGCGCGGCGCCACCCCCCCCCCGGTACCCCCTAGCTGTGACGGATGAAGGGGGCAGCTGCCGCCGTCCCTTGTTGCTTGGTTGCTGGAGATTGAGGGTTCTCCTTTTTCGGCCTAGGGTTCTTTCAGGTTTCCTCCTCTGGTGTGGAAGCAGCTGTCCGCAGACATGTATCTGCTTGAGCGGGCCCACTTTGCTGCCCTTACTTGTTCAGTGGGGCTTTCTCGGTCGGGTGGGGGCTTAGTACGGAGTTCAGACTGTGACTATTCTCAAACCATTTTTTGTCCTCAGTACCTTCCCCCACTCCGGACGTTTCCTTTGTGTTTGGTTATTATGAGGTAGTACAGGTGTATGTAGAACGGCCTAGTTTCAGTCACTTGTCACCTCCAGATTTAAAAAAAAAGGGGGGGGAGAACAGTCTCTCGGATACTAGGTGTTCAGGAAGACTTTTCTCTGCCTGAACTTCAGGAAAGGTGCTGCTGACTGGGGAAGATGTTCCTGACCTCGATGGTCTAATGATCTGAATCTGTATAACACAAACATAAGGTTCTGTGGGCATTTTGTGTCCTGTGCCTTGTATTTCTGTGGGTTTTGAGTGCTTTTTGGTTCTGTTCCAGCTAGTAGTTAATCTCCTACTAACAGTCTGTTATTAGGATTTGGTCACTGGATTTTTTCACACTGTTGGTTTGTGTATATTTTCTGTTTATGAAAGGAAATACTTCTTTTCAAGCAGCTGTCTGGAAAATCAGTTCCCTGTGGAGAGATTGCTTGGTTGTACTTCTTTATACCAGTTTTGTTAAAAAATTTTTTTACTTGGGATAGTCATGCATGTTTGTATTGAGATGTATATTATCTTGTGTCACTGTCTTGTGTGGTATATTATCTTGTGTGGTTAGGCTGAAGCTCTAAGGGTAACAGTAAACAACTAATTAAAGAATTTTAGTGTTAGACTGGTGACTTTTGAACGGTGTGTTTTCTTACCACCTAGAATAGACAGAAGGTGAATACTTTCCAGTGCATGATGTGAATCTATGCAAATTATGGCACTAGAATATTATATACTAGCAAAATGATTGGATCTTTGTCAGACTCCAAGACAAAGGTGTTTTGGACAGTGAACTCAACTGTTGCCTTGCTGATCACACATCATTAATTCAAATATTTATTGAAAATTGCATAAATATTTTTGAGTCCTAATTTAGGGGATACAACTACTATTTTTCCTGTAGGGCATTTGCAGATATATTACAACATATCTGTAAGCAGTATTATTACTGCAACATCTGGAGAACATCTTCAGAATCTTAAATCAATGTTAATTGACTTAAGGAACATGGTTGATTGGATGGTAATTTTATATGTATTTATGATGAATCCCTGTATCTCCCCAACTGTGGCAGATTTTTCCTGCCAAATCTTTAGTTCCCCTCAGTGACTGAGTTGCCCTACAGTAGTGTGTATATACTCTTTGTCATGGCCACCCTATGTTTAGATATCTAGGCTTATTGTCAGCTCAGGAACTCTACTGAATATACTGGAGCTGTCCAGGTTCCTTTTTAAACCCTTGAGAAATGGTGCTTGAGGCAAATTAACTAAAAAGCAGAATAAAGATTTTATTAAAAATGCAGGGAATATATGTATAATTGGAATAGTCAAGGTTTTGAGACTGCTGAGGTTAAAAACTTTCTAATATATACAGAGATGAACATTCAAGAGAGTGTATTCATCGTTTTGTTTCAAGGCTATTTCTTTGAGAGGTACTTTGTTTAGTATAATTCAGCACTAGTATACTAATATAATAATAATAATTGACGTTTCTAGATTTCTTCCTTTATATATTACAGATTTTCCTTTAGATAATACAGCTTTTCATTAACTCCTGAGGTGTCTCAGCTTTTCCGCTTCGTCACAGACCAGGGTTCTCTTCCCAGCTGCTTTCACTGGCAGTTATTCTCCTTGTCCCTAAGAAGCAATAACTCCTTTTACTATTTGGCTTGTATGAGAGTTCACTCTAACTACCCAGACCTTTTGCCAAATTCTTCTCCAGTATCCTTTGTCTGTATAAGGTGGTTCTGTAGCTTTTCTGACTGAGAATTTAAGTTCTCCCTCAGAGCAATTTTACTATCTCTAAGACAGTGGGGCTTCTCTTCTTCTCTTTGTAGAAGTACTTTTCTGACTGTGGCCTGTCAGAAAACACTGACTCCCAAATGTATCTTCTCTCAGAAGCCAAACCCTGTGGCTACTTATTCAGATGTTGGATTTTGAAAGACCAAAAAGCGAAAGACCAATTTATGAAAGACCACTTGTCTCTCCAGATCAGCTGTTTTATTTTCTCTCTCAACTGATGCTGGCCAATTAGAGAGTGAGCAGTGTAGCCAATCATCTAAGCTCTTCGCTCCAGAAAATATTAACTCTTGAATTCCCTGTCTCTCTAATTCAAGCAGCATCTGGAAATGTCTGCTGTTCTGTGTTATCCATCACAGTATTCCTACACTATTTGGAAAAACCACACCTGTTTTTATTTCATATTTTTGGCAGCCATGTCACTAATTTTCTCAGTACTGATTTTCATACCAGTTTTCAAAATGTGTCATTGTCTCAATTTAGGTAAGGGAGGTAAAAACAGAAGAAGAGGCAAGAATGAGAATGAATCTGAAAAAAGAGAGCTGGTGTTCAAAGAAGATGGACAAGGTGAGACAGTCCATTATATGTTCTTTCATTTTGTGCATAAGGTACACCAGGCATTAGATGCTTCTGGTTTTCAATACCTTCTGCTTTTGTAATCTATAGGTAGACTTATTTATGTTTAAATTGGATTAACTGTTTATAATTGCACTTGGAATCAAGGAAACTTTGACAAATAAATTTCCCATAGTTCAATATGAACTGTTTCCCTGTTCTTAAAATGTAAAGGTTCCCTTGCTCGAAAGCCAGTTGAATCCGACTCTAGGGTTGCGGCGCTCATCTCCATTTCAAAGCCGAAGAGCCAGCACTGTCCGAAGACATTTCCTTGGTCATGTGGCCGGCATGACTAAACACCAAGGCTCACGGAACGCTGTTACCTTCCCACTGAAGTGGTACCTATTTATCTACTTGCAATTTCTTGCTTTCGAACTGCTAGGTTGGCAGGAGCTGGAATTAGAGACGGGAGCTCACTCCGTCATGCGGCACACTCGGGTCCCTAACTGCTGAACTACCGACCTTCCACAGCCTGCTGTTCAGCGTCTCAACCACTTGAGCCACCGCTCAATTAATTTAGAATTAGAAGCCTGGAAAGTATGCTCAAGAATCAAGGTTCATGAGACTCAACATTTTGAGTTTCATGAGCCTTGATTCTTTAACCCTGTAGTCCAGGGGTCCTCAAACTTTTTAAACAGGGGGCCAGTTCACTGTCCCTCAGACCGTTGGAGGGCCGGACTATAGTAAAAAAATCAAGCCGTGGCAGGGCTTCACTCGCAATACAGACACACTTCCCTCCAGCGAGGGTCTCTCTTTCTGAACAAATTGGCTGCTGGTTTTTAAGACTCAGCCTTGTTTTCCTACTATTCTCTTCTTAGTTCTACAGCAGCCTTTGTTCTCTTTTTAAGTGCAATCTGTAAAGTTCATGAATAATTTTTGGGTTGCTAATCAAGGGTTATGCAGGTGGATTAGTGGATCCAGGAGTCCTGTGATGCTAGAACCTCAATTTTGGCTTTGTGTAGTCTATGAAGACCTACAACACTGCATAGAACTAACACCAATAAATGATGTCCTCATCATCATAGGGGACTGGAATGCTAAAGTAGGAAGTCAAAAGGTAACCGGAATAACAGAAAAGTTTGGCCTTGGAAAGCAAAATGAAGCAGGGCAAAAGTTAACAGAGTTTTGTCAAGAGAACACACAGGTCATAGCGAACACCCTTTTCCAACAACCTAAGAGGTGACTCTACACATCGACATCACCAGATGGGCAACACTGAAATCAGATTGACTATATAATTTGCAGTCAAAGATGGAGAAGCTCTATCCAGTCAGTAAAAACAAGACCTGGAGCTGACTGTGGCTGACTGTGGCTCAGATCATGAGCTACTCATTGCAAAATTCAGACTTAAACTGAAGAAAATTGGGAAAACCACTAGGCCATTCAGGTTTGACCTAGATCGCATCCCTGATGAATATACAGTAGAGGTGAAGAATAGATTCAAGGGTCTAGATTTGATAGAGTGCCTGAAGAACTATGGACGGAGATTCGTGACATTGTACAAGAAGCAGCAATCACCACCATCCCAAAGAAAAAGAAATGCAAGAAAGCAAAGAGGCTGTCTGATGAGACTTTACAAGTAGCAGGGGAAGAAGGAAAGCGAAAGGCAAAGGCGAAAAGGAAAGATTTACCCAACTGAATGTAGATTTCCAGAGAACAGCAAGGAGAGATAAGGAGGCCTTCCTGAATGAACAATGCAAAGTAATAGAGGAAAACAATAGAATGGGAAGGACTAGAGATCTCTTCAAGAAAATTGGAGAAATCAAGGGAGCGTTCCATGCAAAGCTGGCCATGATAAAGGACAAAAACGGTAGGGACCTAACAGAAGCAGAAGAGATTAGGAAAAGATGGCAAGAATACACAGAAGAACTATACAAGAAAGACCTCAATGTCCTTGACAAACACGACGGTATAATCACTGACCTTGAGCCAGACATCCTGGAATGTGAAGTTAAATGGGCCTTAGAAAGCATTACTAACAACAAAGCTAGTGGAGGTGATGGTATCCCAGCTGAGCTATTCAAAGTCTTAGAAGATGATGCTGTTAAAGTTCTGCACTCCATTTGCCAGCAAATTTGGAAAACGCAACAGTGGCCACAGGATTGGAAAAGATCAGTATACATTCCAATCCCAAAGAAGGGCAATGCCAAGGAATGTTCAAACTATCGCACAATTGCACTCATATCACACGCTAGCAAGGTCATGCTCAAGATCCTACAAGCTAGGCTTCAACAGTACATGGATAGAGAACTGCCAGAAGTACAAGCTGGGTTTCGAAGAGGTAGAGGAACGAGAGATCATATTGCCAACATTCGCTGGATTATGGAGAAAGCAAGAGAGTACCAGAAAAATATCTACTTCTGCTTCATTGACTATGCTAAAGCCTTTGACTGTGTGGATCACAACAAACTATGGCAGGTCCTTAAAGAGATGGGAGTACCAGACCACCTCACATGTCTCTTGAGAAACCTGTATAAGGGCCAAGAAGCGACAGTTAGAACCGGATACGGAACAACTGATTGGTTCAGCATAGGAAAAGGAGTACGACAAGGATGTATACTGTCACCTTGCTTATTTAATATATATGCAGAGTACATCATGCGAAATGCTGGCCTGGATGAATCACAAGCGGGAATTAAGATTGCTGGGGAAAAGATCAACAACCTCAGATATGCAGATGATACCACTCTAATGGCTGAAAGTGAAAAGGATCTAAAGAGCCTCTTGCTCAGAGTAAAAGAGGAGAGCGCAAAAGTGGGCTTGAAGCTCAACATCAAAAAAACTAAGATCATGGCATCCGGCCCCATCACTCCTTGGCAAATAGAAGGGGAAGCTGTGGAAGTAGTGACAGACTTCACGTTCCTGGGATCCCAGATCACCGCAGACTGTGACAGCAGCCATGAAATTAAAAGACGCCTGCTCCTTGGGAGGAAAGTGATGGCGAACCTAAACAGCATGATAAAAAGTAGAGACATCACCCTGCCAACAAAAGTCCGCATGGTCAAAGCAATGGTATTCCCAGTAGTCATGTATGGCTGTGAGAGTTGGACTATAAGGAAGGCCGAGCGCCGAAGAATAGATTCTTTTGAACTATGGTGCTGGAGGAGACTCTTGAGAGTCCCTTGGACTGCAAGAAGAACAAATCAGTCAATCCTCAAAGAAATCAACCCTGACTGTTCCCTGGAAGGCCAGATAATGAAACTGAAGCTCAAATACTTTGGCCACCAAATGAGAAGGGAGCACTCACTGGAGAAGACCCTGATGCTGGGAAAGATTGAAGGTCAAAGAAGATGGGGACGGCAAAGGATGAGATGGTTAGACAGTGTCATAGATGCAACGAACATGAAATTGAGCAAACTTCAGAGGACGGCGGAAGACAGGAGGGGCTGGCGTGATCTGGTCCATGGGGTCGCGAAGAGTCGGACTCGACTGTGCGACTGAACAACAACAACAACAAAGTCTGTGGTATTCATAGCAGCAGTCAAATATTGTTAGTCTCTGGTTTTAATAGCTCACTACTCCTTACTTGAGAAAAGTGTAAGTTATAGTGATACATATGTCTCTTGGTTCTTGTATACAATTGTCTTGACTGAATTGGTACATAATTTCTTTCAGAGTATGCCCAAGTTATCAAGATGTTGGGAAATGGACGACTGGAGGCATTATGTTTTGATGGTGTAAAGAGGTTATGTCATATCAGAGGAAAGTTGAGGAAAAAGGTATGTTCAAGTATGTATTCATGTATATGGGTATATAAATCTTAGAGGTGCTGTCGTTTATGTATATTTCTTACAGCTTAGGTGAGGTGCTGGAATGGATTGTGTTTGGCTGTCTCAATGAACTTAAACGTTTTTGGGTTTTTTGTATAAATATTTTTTATTGTTATTTATTTATTTATTTATATTTCGACTTGCTATACCGCTCTGACCCCGGAGGGTCTCTGTGCGGTTTACACAATGGGTTCTAAGAACACTTGATCCCTAACTAGGGCCACATGATATAGGGGCGGGGGTGTTGCGGCTTGTTGTTGCTCTGGCTCGGCTTTCTCCAGGCGGTCTCTGGCACTTCGGGATGACTTTCGTTGGCAGGGCCGTTCAGGCACACGGCCCATGTCTGCTTTGGCCTCGGCTCTGTCCATTAGGCTCCGCCGCGCCCGCATTTGTCTCTGGCGCTTCGGGACAACTTTCGTCGTCGGGGCCGTTCAGGGGCCGTTATTGTTATTATCGTTCTGGTTATACATTTTCATCTTTCATTGTGCTTTTACAGTTTTTCCCCATCCTCCCCCCTTCTCTCCAGTCTGTTGTTTTTAGTCCTTTTCTCTCAGCCAGGGGCATAATGTTTGGAGCTTCCACTGAACGTCGTTTCTTTGTTCTTCTTCCATCCATCTCCAGTATATGGTCCATTTCTCTTGGATTGTCGCTGTTCTGTCTTCTGTCTTCCGACGGCATGTCTTAGTTAATTATGGAGATTATATCTGATTAAATAATTTCAAACAAATTGTTAAGCCAGTTTCTCTCTGTCCATTTATTTACATCTTTCCTACCTGCCACTATAACCGCTTTACCTGCTAGAACCATTGCTTTCAGTAATTCTTGGTGCTTTCTCTCTATTTTCTCAAATCCTATTGTACTTATTACATTAATTCAACATCTATGTTTATATTTACTGCAAATAGTCTATTCATTTTTCCTACAATATTTCTCCACAAAATTTTAACTTCTGGGCATTCCCACCACATATGTGAATACCACCCTTTTACATTTTTTTACAGTGCCAACAGTTAGGGCTCAGTCCTGGAAACATATTTGCCTGCGTGGCTGGGGTTCTATACCATTTGGTAAAATTTTTTAATTCTAGTTCTTTAAACTTGTATATTTTAATTTTTGTAATTCCGTTCATAAGTTTTATAGCTTTTTGCTTTGTTATTTGCGTTTGTCTCCCATCTTCTTTGTAACTGAGTAATTCTTTGTTTTTTATCTGAGATCATTTTCTTATATATTGGACCTGCTAACCCTCTTTTATTTTGTTTCATTCTTTTATATATCTCTTCTATTGGTTCCTCTATATTCCTATCCTCCATTAGCTTCTTGACTTTCTTGTATAAACCACCTATTTTTAACCAATATTGTACTCCTGTCTCCCCTTCTAATGTTTGGAGTGACTTCAGAGTTCCTCCATTACACGTATCTTTTATTCTTCTCAATTTTTTTTAACAGTTTCCACCATCTGTGGTCTATACTATCCTTTTCTAAAGTTTCTAATGGTGCCCATCTTGATATACCTTTTAACCACTTTGGTTGCCATTTCTTCCAGATTCTTAATGTATTTCTCCTAGGACCCATCTCTAATTTATCTTCTCTTTCCACTTTATTTGTTAATATACCACATTTCCCTATTCCTTTATTTGCTTCATTTTCAAATTTGACCCATTTCTGATTCTCATCTTCCTCTATTTCTAAAAGTGTTTTCAACTGGAAGGCTTCATAATAACTTACTATGTCTGGTACACCCCACCCTAGTTCTGAATTATGACTATAAATTATTATTTTTTTAAGATTCTGGTCTTTGTACTACCAAATATCCATTCCCTTATTGTTGCATTCCATTCCTCCAGTTTTTGTTTGGTAACCTCTAATGGTAGTACTTGAAATAAATATGTTAATTTAGGTATCCAGAACATTTTTACACTCCTAATTCTGGATGTTATATTTAAGAACTCTCTTTTCCACCTTTTCCTGTCTCTTGTTATTTTTCTCCAAACATTATTATAGTTTTTCTCTACAATCTTATTAATATTCTGATGTATTTCTATTCCTAAATATCTAAATCTCTTGACTCCCAATCCTATTTTGGTTAATATATTGATTTCTTTCTTTTCCTCTCGATTCACATTATGGTATAATACTTCTGATTTCATCATATTAATTTTTAAACCTGACATTGTTTCAAAATCCTCTAGTATCACCTTTGTCTCTTTAATTCCTTCCTTTTGGTTGGACATTATTGTTATTATATCATCTGCAAACAGATTAATCTTCATCTCTTCTTTGCCTATTTTACAACCTTCTATCCTTCCTGAATTTCTAATTCTTTCCACTAATTGTTCAATCGCCATTATGAACAAAACAGGTGAAAGTGGGCATCCTTCTCTTACTCCCCTTGTAATTGGAAATTGTGCACTGTGTTCACCGTTTATTCAAACTGCCGCTGAGCCTTCTCTCTATATTTCCTGTATGGTTTTTATAAATCCCTGACCAATGCCATATTTCGACATTATATTCCACAAGAATTCATGAGATAATATATCAAATGCTTTATATACATCTAGTTTAAGCAAACCTATTTTCCCCAAATGGCAGTGACTTAATACATTTAATATTTTTCTATTCGGGTGGGCTATACTTCTGTTTTTAACAAAACCATACTGATCATCTTTTATTACTTTGGGAATAATATTTTCGAGTCTATTTGCCATTATTTTAGCAAAGATTTTATAATCTTGATTTAATAGGCTTATTGGCCTATAGGAACCCACTTCCTGAGGGTCCCTCTGTGGTTTTAATAATATTGTTATTTCTGCTGTCCTCCAAGTGTTACGTGCTTTTCCTCCCTTTAGTATAGTATTAAAGATTGTACATAGTTCCGGTACTAGAATTTCTCTCATTTCCTTATGGAATTCTGCTGTAAATCCGTACATACCCGGTGATTTACCTGTTTTTAAACCGTTTATTACTTGTTCTATTTCTTGCATTGTTATTTCCCCTTCAAGCCCTTCCTTTTCTGTTTCTGTAAGTTTAGTTTCTATTAATTCCTCAAATTCCACCGTATTCTTTTTTTTGTATAGGGTCTTATAGAAATCCATAAAGGCTTCCTTGATCTCTCCTGGATTCTGTGTTATATTCCTGTTAACTCTAATGGTTCTTACTCTTTGCTTATCTCTTTTACTCTTTAAATAGTTTGCTAATCTTTCGACTGAATTTATTGAATTCCTCTGGAATTCATCTCTTACCGTGACTTATTTTTTCCATAGTGCCCTAGAGTCTAATGAATCTAATTGTTTCTTCAATTCTGTAGTTAATCTTTCTATTATGACAAAATTTCTGTAATTGCTGTTTTTGTAAGTTCTCAAGTTCTTGTATCTTATCATTTCTTACAGAGTACCATCTTTTTAAAAATTCTTTCTCTTTCATTATACACTGTCCCCTGATTACAGCTTTGGCTGCATCCCAAAGCATATCTGTAGTTACTGTTCCTCTGTTCTCCTGAAAGTATAGTTTTATCTGGTTTTCCATATATTGTTTATCCTTTCCCTTAGATATGATCATATTATTGTATCTCCATGTTTTTTTTACTCTGTCCCAGTTGACCTCTATTTCTATGCTAACGGGGGCATGGTCTGAAATCCATATTGGGTGTGTAACTACATTTTTGGCTCCCATTTACCAAATTCTTTAAGTATTATAAAGTCTAAACGTGAAGCTGTTTTATGTCTGTTTGAAAAATATGTCGGTTGTGGCATCAATCCCAAAGCTTCATATGCTTCTATTAGGCCCCATTTTTTCCACCATATCACATTATTTTTAGTAACATCCATATTACAATCCCCTGCTATTAATACTTCTCCTCCTGCAAATGTCTGTATTTTTTAAAAAATGTTTAATTAAGAATCTTTTTTGTCCTTTATTAGGGGCATATATATTTACTAGTAAACATTTAACAAACAGATATCTTCCCTCCTCATTTGCTATTATTTCTTTTATCTTAATATCGTACTTCTTATGTACTAATATTGCCACTCCTCTCGCCTTAAATTCACTTCTAGCTTCAGCCAGCACCACCCACACTGGGTCTTTAAGCAACGGTTTATTATCTCTCTTCGTTTTATGTGTTTCCTGCAGGTACATAATATCTATGTTCTGTTGCTTTGTAAATCTGGAGAGTCTGTATCTCTTTAAGTCAGAGCTCAAGCCATTCACGAATGAACTTAAAAGTTGTTTACATGTGGGCTATATAGTTGGTGGTTTCCACTGACAATCTACTTGGTGTGTCAGTGAAATGACCGGTAGTGTCCTGGCTTGTTGGCATTGCTAGGGGATGGGATTGGCATTGGTGCTTAACAGACATTCTTGTTCTAGTCCTCACTTTTTTGAGCACACAAACCTTGCTAACACTATTATTTAGTCACTGTGTCTTCTGCACAGTTCCACATGGTATTGTGCTGGCCAGCCGCAGAGAATAAGACTAAAGCTTTCCAGAAGATTCAAAGTGTTTAGCTCTCCCCTTTCATCTCGAAGTGGTCTTTCCTGCCCAAACGGGCATGTGACTGAGGCAGGAAGAGCATTCCTCCCTCAGTTCTCTCTTTGCTGCCATGGAGAGAGGATGCTTGTCTGAAGCTTTCCCTCACCTCAGGATTGTCTTCGGAAGATTCTCTAGTAAATTTTTTCAATCATGGCACTTTTTAGGAAATGTAGAGAATGTGGGACCAAAATGGCCCAGAATGGTGAGCAGTGACATCCATCTGCTGAGCTCAAGGAGTGGCACAACACCATAGTTTGTGACTCTTGCTGCCTGTTTACCGCAAAGTGCACCATGAAAGGGCTGCTGGACTAAAAGCTGCATCATGGGAGAAAGCTCTGGCACCCCTCCAGCTGAATGTGAGAAGCAGCCCAGAGAAAAGGGCTCATACACCATCAGTCATATCTGTTCCTTCAGCCTCCCC